ACCTAACCTAACAAGCTGGGGTAGAGATTCTTCAGGTGATTCAAAAGGTCAAAGTTCACCCATATAAATTCAATTAAAACATTTACAACCATTTATAGGGATATTATAAATTCATAGCTCTCCCCACAGGCTTGAGGAAACTCAACAGGTTTGAGATATTCAGGGTTTCTTTCGTAACAAGTGAAGCAGAGGGTCGTATCTCTGCGACGACTACAATGCCTCGGGAAGGGGTTATTTAAATTCGCCTGCGGTGCAACAGAGGCCGAGGGGGTGTATCTAGAAAGACCGAGGGGGTGTGTCTAGTGAGGTCGAGGGAGTGTGTCTGGAGAGGTCGAGGTGTGTCTGGAGGACGACTTCTGGGAGGTCTCTTAGTTTGTTTTTATGACGTCATCAGGTTTGTTTACTATGACGTCACGGTGTTTGTTTACGTTGACATTACCAACTGCTCGGGTGTCGCATCATCCATGGGTCCAATAGAAGGTGAGGAGAGATAGAGATGAGGAGGTCACTCAAGTAATGGGGGGGATGAAGGAGGAGTCCTCAGAATGTGGGGGGGTGAGAGGAGTCATAAATGTGGGGGGGTAGGGGAAGTCTTAGGTGTGGGGAGGTGAGGGAGGGTCATAGGTGTGGAGGGTGAGGGGAGGTCATAGGTGTGGGGAGTGAGGAGGTCATAGGTGGCGTGGGGGTGAGGTCATAGGTGTGGGGGGTGAGAATCATAGGTGTGGGGTGAGGAGGTCATAGGTGTGGGAGGTGAGGGTCATAGGTGTGGGGGGGTGAGGAGGTCATATGGGTGTGGGGGGTGAGGTCATAGGTGTGGGGTGAGGAGGTCATAGGTGTGGGGGGTGAGACAGTCATAGGGTGTGGGGGGTGAGGTCCTTAGGTGTGGGGTGAGGGTCATAGGTGATTAAGGGGTGTCGCGTGTGGGTCCTCAGTAGGTAAAGGGGTCAGGGGTTAGTGCGTGTGGTCAGGTGTGGGATGGAGGGAGGAGGAGGATTGTCTGGGTTGTGTAGGGAGAGGAGGAGAAAGGAGGAGGAGAAGAGGGGGAGGGGGTGGGAGAAAGGAAGGGAGGAGGGAGAAAGGAAGGGAGGATGTGCTTGCCTGTGGAGGTCAAGTGAGTTACAGTGGGGAGGTTGCGTGCATTTTGCGTGGGAGGCTAGATTACGTCTGTTCTCTGGGGATGAATAGGAAGAATGTGTGTGTGTGTGTGTGTGTGTGTGTGTGTGTGTGTGCTAGGGAGAAAGTTAGTTAATGGAGTATACTTGGCATTAACACACACACACACACCCCCCCACTGTACCATGTATATTAATTAGTCAGGAATACATTTACATTTCAGATTTAATTCGTCCCTGTGCGGTATATCATCAGAGTAGGTGGGCGGTGGAACACTATTTTACCCCGTTTACGAGAGCAATGGGCAGGAAAACGTTATTAATGGTGGGGGAGGGAAGGGGGAAGGGGTGAGGAAGGAGAGAGGAACCGAACCTAACGTAGGGAGCTTTAAATCCGGGTGGTATGGTGGGGAATAATGAGGACTTCTTCCTGACCTTGACTGTGGCTTGAGGACCAACACACACACACACACACACACACACACACACACACACACACACACACACACTTCCAGGAATACTACATGTGATGATTGAGGAATTTCCGGAGCAGTGGGAGTCAAATGTGTGTGTGTGTGTGTGTGTGTGTGTGTGATCACTGTAATACTGTCTCTCTGTCAATCTGTCTTCAATATATCCTTCAAGTTTTGTATCCTTTCCTTCTCCTACTCTTACTTCCTTCTTTCTTCTATCCTCTCCTTGTCATTCCTTCATTCATTCAGTCTTTCTCTCTGTTCCTCTCCCTCCTGTTGTTTCTTCTTTCCTTCTCTCCTTCTTTGTTTCCTTCTTCCTTCCTTCCCTCCCTTCCATCTTTCCTTCCTTTCTTCTCTCACCCTCTCCCTGTCTCCCCTCTCTCTCCCTCACTCAGTCTTTCTTGCACCGCTCCTCCTCCCTCTCCTTCTTTTCCATTCCTACTCTCCTCCTTCCTTCCTCTTCCTCACCTTACTCCTCCTTCATCCTCTCCCTCTCCCTTCTTCCTCTCCCTCTCCCTTTCCCTTCTCAGTCATAAGTGCACTAGGAACTGTTAGTGGCTGAGTGGTAAGAGCTCTAAAGAGATTAGCCATTGATTCGCCAGTCTCTCGTGTCACCTAATCTTCCCTTGGATCTGCCTGCACTACCCAGCCCCTGTATTGTAAATGGCTATTGTAAACCGATCGTGGCCTTGAGGTATTGTAGTCCTTATTGTAGCATCTATTGGTTAAGGTGAGCTATTGTAATTGGTATATTTATGGTGTTGCTATACAGTATTACAGGCTATTGTAATCGTAACATATATTGTAGTAGGTATTGTAGGGCCGTATGTAAGACTGAAATACATGCAAGTCAGCAACATCAAGGTGTAACGCGATCACCAGCTCCAAGACGAATACTAATCCTTGGCTGCGTTGAGGACCACTTTGTTATTATTATGAAGAGGCTTACCAGGCAGAGAGGGAGGAGAGAGAGGGAAGAAGAATAGAAGGGGAGAGAGTGTGGGAGATGAGAGATAAAGGGTGGGAGATGAGGGATAAAGGGTGGGAGAGAGGGAGGGTGGAAAATGAGAGAAGGGGTGGGAGATGGAGGGAGGAAGAACGAATGGAAGAGAGGGCAAAATGAGGGAGAGAGGGTAGGAGATGAGGGAGGCGGGAGAGGTGGAGGAAGAACGGAAGGAGGGAAGGATTGGGGTGAGAGAGAGAGAGAGAGAGAGAGAGAGAGAGAGAGAGAGAGAGAGAGAGAGAGAGAGAGAGTATGTGTGTGTTAGTAACTCAGTACTAGTAAGAGCAACACATAGTGGCCTGGTTGTGGCGACATAGTGGTGGTAGTGGTGGTGAAGAACGCACCATAAACACACCATGTGACCACACACTCTGGCACCATCATCTGTGGCTCCCTCACACGACTCTCTCTCTAAGTTTTCCTAGGTTAATTTTTCCCCCCAATATACATAACTTAAAGTCAACTTAGTTCCGGTATAGTCTCGGTGATATTTGGACGCCATATTGACTATCATCTTTGTGTGTTGGTGTAAGTGAGGGAGGCAGATGTGGTCTTGTTTTGTATATCTTGATGTATAGTTAACGTAGGAACCTTCAAGAATCTGGTCCTTAGTGTCTGGTAACTATGTGTGGTGTTTCCGTGTGGTTGTGAGAGATTTCCCCTTCTCAGTTGTGGTTGGCGCCCTGTGTGTCTGTGGTTGGCACCCCGTGTGTCTGTGGTTGGCACCCCGTGTGTCTGTGGTTGGCACTCTGTGTGACTCTTCCCGCCGTGTCTTGGACTGCTAGACACCTATGATATATTAACATGTATCCTCCTGTACTCTCCTGTAACCCCAGACACTTCACTGTACTTCAGGTGTGTGTCCTATCGTGTCTCTCATTACCTCCCAGTTCTCACCACACACCTGTATCATCGTAGGAGACATTTGAGAAATATTATGAGGTAACGTGTATCTAAAGGAACGGGAATAATAGAAGTAAAATGATAGTACTGAGACTAACCTAAGATAACCTAACCTAACCTAACCCAACCTAACCTAACCCAACCCAACCTAACCAACCTAACCTAACCTAACCCAACCCAACCTAACCTAACCTAACCTAACCCATAAGTATTCGCTAAATTTCAGTATGGCGGAGGAACTATATGGGCGACTCTAGATCAGTAATTGTTTTATCGTGAAATCAAGATGAAAGTTCCTGGTAATATGGTGGGTGGCTATGGGTGTGTTGTGGTGGGTGGCTCTGGGTGTGTTGTGGAGGGAGCTATGGGTGTGTTGTGGTGGGTGGCTCTGGGTGTGTTGTGGAGGGAGCTATGGGTGTGTTATGGTGGGTGGTCTCTGTGTGTTGGGGAGGGAGCCAGGTGCAGCAGGGGTGGCTCTGGGTGTGTTGTGTGAGGGAGCCATGGGTGTGTTGTGGAGGAGCCAGGGTGTGTTGTGGAGGACAGGGTGTGTTGTGGAGGGAGCTATGGGTGTGTTATGGTGGGTGGCTCTGGGTGTGTTGTGGAGGGAGCTCTGGGTGTGTTATGGTGGGTGGCTCTGGGTGTGTTGTGGAGGTGGTACAGGCCAGAGATGGTAGTTCAGGTTGTCACGGTATTTGTCTACGCTGATGCATGGTATCCTCTGCCACCCACCGTGTCATGTGATGCACCACTACCACCACTTTGTTACCGACACTCTTGACTGACACCGTGATGACATACATTCTGGCTGACATGCTTCACTGTCACTTCCTCACGGGTACACAAGGTAATCCCGATGCACCAATGTCTGACACTCGTTACAGAAAATCACCTGACTGTAACGATCATCACCATTCTCTCCACTGTGCCACCAAATACCATGTAAAGCAGCTAGTCTCGTTAACCTCCTTCACTACCAATCATCATCTTCACTACACGCTGGTGGATCTTGTCACAACACACACTGAATAACTACAGGGTGAACTCTCTCCTCATCCTCCCTGCACATATATCAAGTCACCTGTAACATTCCCTTAAAGGTCTAACTATATCAGGTTCTCTCTAACACTACCTTGTATAAGTCTCTTCATCAGGACTTAGACTTTTCGTGATCTTTGTTCCTTTTCTGTGGTCTCGCCTCTCGGGTACTTGGACCGTGTATGGGTCTTAATTATGTGGGAGGATTGTGTTGTGTTTTGTCTGAGGGTGGTGAGGGAGGGTGAGGCATGGATGGAGGGGAGTTCTCGGGTGATACTATAATAAGCTAGTATTATGTATATGTCCTTAGATTCTGTATAAACTTTGGTGAAGCTTAACATATATAATGTTTTCTTTCAGGTGAGCTTGATATGGTGAGTGGGTCATGTATGGATGATACTTTAATTACTTTAATACTTATAAGACCCTATAAGTGTTGACCTGTTACTTAATATCATCTTCTCCTTCCCTCAGATGAGCTTGGGGGTGCGGGTGGAGGTGGTACTGTTGGACGACCGACGACTACAGGTGAACGTAGGTCCCCGCCTGCTGACCCACGAGCTCCTCGCCATGGTCGCCTCACACTTCACCCTCAAGGAGAACCAGTACTTCTCCCTCGCCCTCGTCGACTCCACGTGAGTATCTTCAGTCCTTCCTCGTCTTATGTCTTACTGTAGCTCCAGTCGTATCCTCTACTCATCCTGTGAGCGGTAGTGCGAAAGGAATTACAGTGGTCAGGATAGGAGTTGACTTAGCTACCAGGTGCAACAAGTGGATACAGTCTTAGTACATCCGGTATCTTCCCGTCAAAGATAAAGTACTGTGCCGTTTCATACACAGTGTGCTTTGATCTGCCCCTAAGGTTATATTTTCACACAGTCCAGGACGTGGTGTTGGAGTGTGTGGCTATATGTCTGGTCACACACTTTACATTTAATTTTGTTCACACCTGCCTGAGGGTCATACTGCTAGAGGTACTTAGGATACTCAGCTGGCGGTTAAAACATCGTTTAATCTCTTGATCTGTTGCTTGCTCCATATACATGTTTCACTTGATACATCTCATCATGGTAGACAATGCATTGACATGTGGCTGTTTGCACTTGTCTGCTTACTTCATATTCATCAGCAAGTTCTTTCCTGATTACAGCTTTAAAAGTTCCTTGTGACAAACCTAGATTATATTCAACAGTGCCTTTGATAGACGCGACTTTGGCAAAGGCACCAACTCGGTTATGTTCACTGAGGCCTATGAGAGGGGGGGTCCACAGCAGCTGATCTTGACACCCCGCATCAACAAGACACGGATGTTTGTGTCTGTGGTAGTGACTTTAACAGCCCTTCCACAGGCGGTGTTAAGAGAGCCATAAGTGCAGGTGGTCTGTGTGTTGTTGTAGTGGTGAAGGGTAGTGTTGTTTTAGGGGGCCTTTTTACAACATATGGGCGACTAAGAAATCCCCATCTCCTCATCCCAGCAAACTGTTATTTTGTTCTTAATTAACGTTATATGCCACTTGTTATAACATTTGAACACTAAACTTTCCTTTAATATACAATAAACTCATACTAAACCAATGATCATGCCAGTAAAGTCCCCCAAATAGAAGTAAATAAAATCGGAATAATACTGTACCGGGCGAGTGAATAAATGTTTGAATCGGAATAATACTGTACCGGGCGAGTGAATAAATGTTTGAGTCACCGCTGAAGCAAGACCATTTTCTATTATGGTATTTTACGTCCGTTTTCTCTTACTCGGTGTTGGGGGACTGTAGTGTATTTTTGTCCATTAGAAAATCCCAATACGGTACTCAGGTTTTGTTTATTTTGTAGATATTTTGTATGGGAGTATAGTCGTTGGTGGTGTATTAGTTAATATTAGTAATTATATTTGCTATTAAAGTTCTTAATTTTCTCTCATGATGTATTTAATAACTTGCAATTTGTTATTAACTAATTTCATGTCCATTATTATTATTACTATTATTATTATTATTATCATCATTGCTGCTGTATCTTTATATATTATTGCTATTATTATTACATTTACTACTATTGATGTTATTGTGGTGCTAATGACCGAGGTTATCATTGAGAGTTATCGTACGACTAATATTGCAGGGGTCACTACCAGTGGTTGTCGCACGACCGTCGGGTGGTGGATCACGATGTGGTCCGCACCCTCAACGGCGCCCCCCTCACCCTCTACTTCCTCGTCAAGTGAGTACTGTACTCTGTTGTTATATTACCTTGTGTTACCTGGTACTACCTTGTGTTACCTGGTGCTACTTTGTGTTACCTGGTGCAACTTTGTGTTACCTGGTATTATTTTGTGTTGCTTGGTATTACTTTGTGTTACCTGGTGCTACTTTGTGCTACTTTATACCATATGCTACCGATTGCTACTTTGTGCTACCTGGTGTTACTTAGATCTCTCTCTCAAGACGTTAATAGTCGTGATAATGTTACCAAGTATTATGAATTAATTTGCGGTTGAGTGACAGATGGCTGGAGTGTGGCGGCGGTAAGTGGTGACTGGTGTAACTATCTTAGTGTAGAGGACTTTTAATAGGGCCTAAGACTGTATGATATTAATGTAGACTGGCTGTGGAGTGACTGGTGGTCGTAACTGAATTTCTATTGGCAGTGACTGGTAGACTGTGGAATGAGTGGTGGTAGTAACTGGATATATAGTGAAATAATCTTCAAGTGACAATAAGCTGGAGTTCCCAATCTTCAGGTAAAATAAGCTGGGTGCTTAATCTTCAGGTGAAATAAGCTGGGGTGCCAAATCTTCAGGTGACCCGAAATAAAATGAATGTACAATAGGTATACAGTATGGAGAACTGTCAAGGTTACGGCCGTGTAGTGACTGCTTGACGGCTATAATCACGTGACCCTAACCGTGACCTCGGGGGAACTGGGGTCATAGTTCACATGCTGGGAGGAACTGGTAGGTGGTGGCGAGGGGATGGGGGTAGGTTAGGTGAATGTCTAACTTTTGGTAGATAGATATAGACAGATAGAAAGCTGCTGTCTATCAATACGGGTTATTTAAAAGGACTATAGCCAGCACGTGTAAGAGACTGATGACCACGACTGCCTCTCTGTACTGACCACTAATCCTCCACCCTCAGGACCGGTCAGGGCTCAGGGCACACACACACACACACACACCACACACTGCTTAATTGTTAGATGTAGGTGGACGGGAGACGTGACGTGTGTGTGGGGGGGGAGAGGTAATTAAAGATTCTCTGGGGTCTTTTTGTAGTTAGTCGTGATGGGTCATAGTGAAAGGGGTCAAAGGTCACTTGGTCAGCTCTCAACTGTTGCTCTCAGTTTAGTTCCCGTCTGTAACCTGTAAACTGAATTATTTCTCTTTAATGTATTTTGCCGAATTTGTTTTCATTTAGTCAACCTAACTCTCGCCTTTCTTGACCTGACTGATGTGTCGTTTTCGCGTGTGATATCTCTCTCTCTCTCTCTCTCTCTCTCTCTCTCTCTCTCTCTCTCTCTCGTATTTAGGCTTTTATACCAACACCACCTGACCTTGTTAAAGTGAGAGAAGGGAGGGAGAGAGAGAGGGGGGAGGGAGGGAGGGAAGAGGTGAAGACGCGTCCCCGTTTTTTTGTTGATGCTTCTCCTTCACTTTCCTCCAGTAGACCTTCACCTCCTCCTCCTCCCTCCTCTTACACCTCCTTCCTCTCTTCCTTTTACACCCCCTTCCTATCTTACTCCCTCCCTCCTCTTTCCCCTCCCAGCCTCCTCCACCCCCTCTTCCCCCCTCCTCGACGCCTGGAGGCATGGTGGTCGTGAAAGCTGAAACTGAACTTTTCAATCGCCTTGAATAGCAACAGTTTATTAAGGCATAAATTTACACACACGACACTGACTCAGCTGACTGTCCTGGGAGCAGCTACATTCTTGAAGTAAGTCAAGAGATGTATACACCTGTTGTTAGTGAGCATTACACTCTTGTTACCTTTTTGACTCACCTGAAGAAACTCCACCTTCGCTTATTTCACTTAAAGACTAACCACCTTAATCCTAACCTCACTTCATTCCTCCAAATAGTGTCACGTGATATAAACTGGGGTGGTGATTCTTCAGGTGATCATCACAACATTTAAAAGAGTACAAAGTTATTAATATAACATTACTTCATAGAGAATAATATATACAGAAAGTCATCATCAGATTACTACATAAATTACTACAGAGTAAACACGATAAAAAAATCTTACATCAGAATAAATTGAGACCAAATAGTCATTCACTGGTCGGGGTGACTCTGACAACATTACCAGTGTTTATACCTTAGTGGTCATAATGTTAAAAAGAAAGATAGAACATAAATACATAAGCGTGAATTAATGTGATAAACAGTTCAGTGTTTAGATGGAACATATCGTCCTGAGAGAGGAATTAAACTTGAGGAATGAACGGAATGGAATGTTACCTGGCATTAGTAGATTGACTACAGGTATATTATCCAACATCTTCGTACTGTAATAGTGATAGTGGGGGTGGCCAGGAATTAACCATGGGTGTGTTGTATCTACCTGTCCTTACCTGTAATTAACGTCGTGGTTGAATTGCTATATGAAATAAATTCAACCAGAGAGAACCTGATGTTTTTATACAGGTGAGTGGACGTGTGAGGTGACCAGAAGATGTCCTCCTCCTCCTCCTCCTCCTTACTCCTCCTTACTCCTCCTCCTCACCTCCTCCTCCTCCTCCTCCTCCTCCTCTCTCCTACTCCTTTTCCTCCAGGATTGATGAATTTTTATCTTATGGTGTGTGTGTGTGTGTGTGTGTGTGTGTGTGTGTGTGTGTGTGTGTGTGTGTGTGTGTGTGTGTGTGGTAGCCAGCCAGGGGTGGAATAGAAGGCAGTTATAGTAGTGGTGGTGGGGAGAGAAATTAATGTGATGAGAGGAGAAGAGGAGGAGAAGGAAAAGGAGGAGGAGGAAGGAGAAAAAAGAAGGAGAGGAGGAGAATGTCGTGGGTAGAGATTGGTGGTTGGTGTCCTTGTCACTTCGATGGGCAGTGTGTGTGTGTGTGTGTGGGGGGTGGAACTGAGAGAGTGTGGAAACAATAGCACACACACGGCCGCTCATTCCAATCAAGGTATTGTTTCCGTGTGGTGATGAGGGCGGCACACCTTCCTCTGTTTCCCCAATGTTTAAATTAGTAATTGTACCTGAGGGCCTCTACGTCCCAGGGAGTAAGGTCTTGTGTACTTTGAGGGCCTTCTGGTAGGTCCTCCCTAAATGTGTCTTGACTGAGTTACTGCCTTTTCTGACTTGACTGAGGGAGGAGGTTTTATATAAGAGAGCGTGAGGAACATAAAGCAATGATTGACTCTTGTTGTGGTTTGTTTATTGAAGAAAATTCTACTCGTTTTTTAAGTGAGGTTATACCGTAATATTCTCTCTCTCTCTCCTCTCTCTCTCTCTCTCTCTCTCTCTCTCTCTCTCTCTCTCTCTCTCTCTCTCTCTCTCATATCTAAGTAAGCGCCTCCTAATGGCTCTACGATAGGAAAGATCTACTGATACCGTCCCCCCCATTAAGTAAGGCAATTTGAAGTCCTATTTGTTGACGATCCCCCAATTTAGACTGAGAGTTAGTGGCCACCATTTAAAGGGGCCCTGTATTGGTGTTGGTAGTGCTACCAGAGGTGGTTTTGAGAGAGTGGTGGTAGGGATGGTGGTTCTGACGTATGTTGAACTAGTGACGTATGTTGAACTAGTGACGTATGTTGAAATAGTGACGTATGTTGAACTAGTGACGTATGTTGAACTTATGACGTATGTTGAAATTGTAGTTAATGAAGAGACCTCTGTATCGTGGAAGCTGGCCCTGGGGATAACTTTTGTATTTATTTTCTTTGTGTTTTCTGTAAAATTTCGTTCAGACAATGTTGAAAATAATGTTGCGTCTTGGAATTATTTTGAATATTTTTTGTGTGTTGGAAGGAAAGACTATGATAAAGTTTGGAGTAGTTAGCTGCGTCTTGGTGTGGTAAGAGGGGGGCGTGGGTGGAGGGAGGGAGGGAGGGGTCAGGTGTGTGTGTGTGTGTAGGAGGAAGAGGAGGATGGTCGGTCACCCTGGTTTTATGTGGTGCTGGTCACGCTGCCTGCTTGCCATCCTTCCTCCCTCTCCTCATCCTCCACCTTCTTCTTCTTTTACTCTTAGATTGACCCTCTTACCCTCTCCTCCTCCTCTCCTATGTCTTCTCTCTGTCTAACTTATCACCGCCGCTTCTCTTCCTCTCGTCCTTCTTCTTGCTCCTTCCTTCTCCTTAGTTCCCTCGCCTTTGTTACCTCCTTCCTCCTTCTTTAGCTTTCTCTGTTCCTTCTTTATTACCTACCCTCTCCTCTTCCCTCCTTATCTAGTCTTAGCTCCCCCTCACCTCCCTCACCGCCACCGCCACTACCACCAATACCTCTCTCTCTCTCTCTCTCTCTCTCTCTCTCTCTCTCTCTCTCTCTCTCTCTCTCTCTCTTATTGTTGTTTACTTTACACCCTCTTCCTTTGCCCTTCCTCGTTTTGCTTCGTGTCTTCTTTATTGTCCTTAGTTGTCTCTTCCTAGCTTTATCATTCTCTCTCTTTTTGCCTGTTTTTCTTATTGTCACTTCTTGCTTTTCTTCTTCGCACCTCCCTTCTCCTTCTCTGTTATATCTTTCCCTTTCTTTGTATTTTCTTTCTCCTTTATTCATTCCTTCTTCTGTTACGTTTAATTTGCTTCTTACTTTATTTTATCTCGCGTTATCTCTCTCTCTCTTCTTCTTCTTCTTCTTCTTCTTCTTCTTCTTCTTCTTCTCTCACATCTTTTTATTATTTTCTTTGTCTTTTCTTTACGGTGTTTGTTTTGATTCTCTCTCTCATTTCCTCCCTTCTCGCTTCTTCCCTCCCCTATCCTCCTATCCCCTCCTTTATCCTCCCCTTCTCTTCCCTCCCCTATCCTCCTATCCCCTCCTTTCTCCTCCCCTTCTCTTCCCTCCCCTTCACCCCACCCCCCTCCTACACTACTCCCCTCCCCGCTAAGGCTTCAGGGTACAGCCGTCAGAGGGAGAGGCTGGCGTCCCCTTCTGTGTACTCTAGGTGATGCTCTCTCTCTCCCTCCCTCACACCCCCTCTCCCCTCCTCCCTCACACCCTCTCTCTCCCTCCCTCCCTCACAACTCTCCTCTCTCCTCCTCCCTCACACCCCTCTCT